CACTGCTGCATGCCACAACCGGCTGGTTGATGGCCATTGCCGCCTGCGGTGCGGCGGCGTTTGAGCGTAGGAGGAGGACAAAGTCGAGGAAGGAAGGTGAATGTCATGGGTTGAGAGGTCGACGAAGGTGATGACGTTGGCAATCTAACGTCAGGGGATTGTCCAAGCGGTTGTGTGTTGGCCGCCATGCAGGGCCCTCAGGCAATCGAAGGCATCAAGGCCTCTCGTGCGAGTCTGAAAGCACCCCTCTTGTATCTGAGAGTCTCAAAATTGTCTCTACCTGTCTTTCTTACTCTAAGTCTGGTCTATTGGTTTTCAGAGGAAGGCGGCAGGCGGGATTGCAACCCGTAGGACCGCAGCAAGACTGTGTGGGGAGTCAACCCACCGATTGCGGGAGCTCTGCCGGAGCTTAGGCGAGACTCTGGCGGCAGGGAACTGAAAGGTGATCATTGGCTTTCCCTCTTATATACCCGGTTATAACCCATAGTTGTACCTCTTTCTATGCGCTGACTGCGCGTATTGCGTGCACCCCTACTTTGACTTTGGTTTGACTGGCAGGATAGGACTCAGACTAAATAAAGGAATGTATGTGCAATCACAGTTTCAGTTTGTTGATTGTTTGCAGGCAGATTTGTGAACACAAGGGGTTGCATCTGGGGGAAGGGTGGGTGAAAGGTGGTTTTGCTTGAGCCTGAATGGGTCCTATGGGGTCAGACCAGTTCCATAAGATTGGAAGGTCTGACTGCTGTATTTATTTTTGAATTGCATGGAGAGTCAGACCAGTTCCATAAGATTGGACGGTCTGATTGCTCTGAATTGTGAGGGCTTGACTGTGGTTGACTTTTCAAGGGTCAAATCTGTACCATAAGATTGGAGGGTTTGGTCGCCATGTTTGGTTGGGGTTTTGTTCTGTTTGTTTTGTTTTTGGTCGAGGAGGTCTGAGCAAGTCCATAAGATTGGACGGCTCAACCCTTTCCTGTTTCGTTACGAGGGGATAATTCTCGTTGAGGGCAAGGCATGTCCATAAGATTGGACGACTTTGGACTCACGACGCACACAGTTGGATCAGAGAAACGAACCTGGCAAAGGACCAAATATGTTCCATAAGATTGGACGGTCTGGCCCAATGCCTCGCACATGCTGGAATCCAAAAGGTTAAATTTTGGCTATATTTTATACTATCTTATTTATGAACAAGCTTGTCAACCATGGGTTCCATAAGATTGAACGGCCTGGCTATAGCTTATCATGAAATGAAGAGAGTATAACTAAGAGTATAATTGACGGTAACCCTCGGCAGACTGGGCCTTGTTCTGAGATGAACGGCTCAGTCCTATGCCCAACTTTTGAACACCAAGCTCAGAGAGGTATATATAATTTGAATATTAAATAGTTCGGGGCGGGTGAGCCTTGTTCTAAGATGAACGCTTAGTCATATGCCCAAAAGGAAGAGAGAAGTAGTTGTGCAACCTGTTCGTGTATACTAAATGGCTGAGTCAGGCAGGTTGGCATTGCATGTGGCTGAGTGAGGCTACTACTTGGTTTGAGTTTCAGGTTGACAGGTAGTTGCTTTAGAGGCTCGCCTCGTGCTAGAGCGATAGGAGTTAGTTCAATTTTTGCATTTTCTGAGCTAAGTTTTTTTTCTTAGATCGATTCTTGCATTTTCTGAGATCTTTTGTTATACTTGGCTTTGTAAAAATTTTGGTAAGCTACTTTCTCTACGGGAAGCGCTGTCGAAATTTCTGCAAATCCAAGGAGTTAGTCAAATTCTGACTTGTCAAAATTCAGCTTGTCTAAAGTTATATATGACTTAGTAAAAATATGAAAAGTCTCATTTTCTAAAGGGAGTGCTGCCCAAATTTTTGCTAATTCAGGGAGTTAGACAAAATTGGACCTTGGAAAGTCAAAGACTATTTCTGTTTTCGTATTCGGGCTGATATAAATTCTGGAAAGACACTTTTCCTACGGGAAGCACTGCCGAAATTTTCTTAGTTTAAAGGGGATAGATTATATTTTGACAGGTAGCCATTCTGGCGATCCACCCTGAATAGGGAATAGGGGAGATTATGTCAGGGTCTACCGTTACTTGGGCACTGCTTAGAATTACGTTCGGGCTTAATTAAGTAAAGCGATTTTGGTGAGATCATGGTGTGAAAGTTATTCTCCGTTGACTCATAGGTTTAGCCTGGGGATTGACATGCCTTGTGTTACAGGACATCTTGACCACTTGATTCAGGATTTGGATTAGAGTCAGCTTGATCCTACGAGGATCATCTTCTGTTGTCACTGATAACAGGTCGGTTGCCGATTCGTCGGTTTACGATTCAACTCCAATTCACTCCTGTCACTCAACCTAAAGGCTTTAGCCTTGAGATTTAAATTGTTTTGTTGTGTTTTTACCCGGACTTTATTGAATGGCCATCCAACAAAAGTACTGAGCATTCATTTAAGAGTTGCACGAGTGAGGCTTGTATGGCTAAAGCGAGTGGTATGAGTGCGAGGAATGGTTGAAGTTGACCCCGTGTAGTGCGTGGACTTCTGGTTGAACCCTTGATGTAATTGCAGGTATGGTTGTGGTTCGGACTCTCGATGTGATTGCCTGCGATTTCATACATATATGGCTGAGAGGAGCCTCACTGTAACTGTGAGAAGTGATCGTCCTATATAATTAACCCTTATACACTTATAAGTGCCCTGAGTATTTGACAGGCCTACTGTAATTGAGCATAAGGGTTAACCAGATTGTGTCTCTAGAAAAAAAGAGGATTCCCTTTTTATCCTTGCTTTTTAAAGTTTGTATGGTTGGACGTTGTAGTCCGTGGCAACCGTCAAAGTCAAACCCCTTGACATTCGCCCAGGCCCGGAGTGGGACTCATCTCCAGGGCAGTAAGAGGCGACTGCCACCACAGTTATGGACCTGTGTACCACCCACTGTGCACGGAGTGCAGAAGAGGGTGTGTGGTCTCCAACCGCGCATGGCGGTTGTCCAACGTCGAGAGATTAACCCTCAAGGTGCGTGTCAGCCGACACTTGAGTGTCGAATGCGACCCTCGAGATTAATGAGGACCGCGTGAGTATGGGTAGTACATAGTACGTCATCACTGCGACTGCTTGCGTACGCTTGCATGGCGAGTCGATATGAGTAGCCCCTGCGTCCACGCAGTTTTATATCGAGGCTCGCGCGCGACGCCTATCCGATTTTCGCATTGGAAAGTTATGGGTTGGCTACTGAAGGAACTAGGAGTGTTGTCGCGTTGTTTGATGTGTGTGTGTGTGTGTGTGTGTGTTTTACTTTTGTGTTTGTTAGAGTGGTGTGTGCATGGTGTGTGGGATGCGTCCTAGTCAACCGACGACGAGCCGCGCTTGGGACTTCGGCCCCCCAAGATATCGGTTCTCGTGCGGGTCCGATAGGCGTATTACCGCTCGTACCCCCTATGCTACATCGAACGAGAAACACCCTCAGCTGGTCCACCTCTGCAATTGCAACCGAGTAGCTTTCGTACTGTGGACTGGTAGCTTGGCGGGGATACACCCACCGAAGGGAGGTGACAGCTCCCGTAAGGTGGAGGTAAGATGTGCCTCGTGTAGGCTCTATCCTGTCGTAGGGGCTCGCGAGAGGTATGGCTGGCGCACTCGGCCGGAGTGGCCTAAGGAAGCTCCATTTGTGTGTTCGCGGCAAGGTTGGTCCAACTCCTGCATGACGCGGCCGAGAGGGTTCCGCACTGCCGCGTGCGGTGCCGGATAGATGCGCCCGACACCGCCTCGACAGGCTACCCAGAACTGGCGATCATACCAGGATCGGGCGGCCCCTCACAACCAGCGTGAAAGCCCTCGCCCATAAACTTTCCCAGTGCTCTATTGCATCTAGGCCCCTGAACCTTGCCACCGGAGATCTCAGTTCCAACCTGGGACCCCACCCCCACTTTCCAAAAATCCTTGGCACACCTCTTTGTCGCACTTTCAGGCCCACACTCCACTCCGATTAGGAAGTCGCGTCGGGCAGGAGGTTGGTATCGGAATCCGACACATGGCTAAGCGATAGGGTCTGTAGACTCAATACTGGTTAAGGCGAGGCGATCTGGCTCCACGTAGGTGCCCTTCAGCTGGTAACACACGCCGACATAGTCCTGTAGTTACACGAAGACGAACATCCGCCACCAGGCGAGCATGCACCATGGTTGCGGCCGCTGCGGCGGTCATCCCCAATCAACCGCCCAACCCGCTTGCGGGAGCCCCGGCGGCCCCACCAAATCTTTATTTATTTGACCCAGCACACCATCTCGCCGGAGCATGGTTAGCCACGCTCCGAGCTCAGCGGTATACGAACGATGAAGCTCAGATCAACATCCCCGCGCGGATGGGGGGGGACGCCCATCATTGGTATAGCACTTATGTATGGGTGGATCTTCCCACATTCGAGCGGGATTTCATGAACCACTTCGATTATGTTCACCTCGAACAAGCACTCTATATGATCAAGGATCGAGTCCAGAAACCATTCGAATCCATTACCGAGTATCGAAACAGATTTCATCGAATGTTTGTAAAGACAGAGCGGGGCGAGCAGGTTGGCCGGGACCTGTTCATTGATGGACTACGTAACAGAACGATTCGGGGGAAGCTACGTAAAAACTTCTCTCCCATTAACCACACGCTGCAACAAAAAATTATGGACGTTGTCGAAGAAATGCAGCGGAAGTTCGCAGCTAGCTTCTTAAAAAATAAGGATTATGGTAGAGAAGGAGACTCGTCCGAACTTATGAAAGCAAGGGCGGAACTGGCCGCACTGCAAAACAAATTCAAAAACATGGGATTCGTAGCCGGACCCGTTACGTATGTAGAACATGTGACATCGAGGACCGCACCATGTGGAGCGACTGTAAACAGGCAGATCTCGGTAATGGCGTCCCCAACCGTAACTCAGCCACCTCCACTGCCACCCACCATTGAGTCACCCGCAAGAGCGAATGAGTCTACTGCTATCTTGGAGCTAACTAAAACATTGGTTAGTCTAATCCAAGAAAGCAAGAAGGAACAGCGAGAGCACAACGCCCGATTAGAAGTTATGATGCGGAATATGAGACCCATTGCGGTGCGAGCACCAATGCAGGGAGGCATGGCTGCTGCACAAGTTGCAGCGGGGCCAGCCGGGACAGCGGCAAATGCCTGTTTTACATGTCATCAACCGGGACACTTGGCCCGAGATTGCCCCCATCGTGCCATGCAGCCTCGAGCCGGGGTCGCGCCTGCAGCTGCAGCTCCCATAGCTAACGGCCCAGGACGTGTAGGAGCCGTGATGGATGATCAGGGGGGAAGTAATGGAATGATGATTTCCAGTGAGGAAGCAGCCGAGCTTATCCCGCTGAAGCAGTATGTATCACTAGGATACCCGGGGCTGGGAATGATTGGGACGATTCGACCGGAACTCGAGTCCAGAGATGTCGCCGAATGGCGGCCTTCGTCGAGCAAAATGGAGACGGGAGGCCCTACCTTTGTTACAGGGGAAATCGATGTCCTCGAGGTTACCCGAGCACTGGATCATCGAATCCCTCTTTCCATCGGCCACCTACGCTCCATTTCAGAACAGGCAAACGAACGTATGATGCAACATTGCAAAGCGAACCGGAAGCGATTCGCCCTTGCACGCGCAAAAGATCAGAAGGCGAAAGCGCCGACTTTGGAGGAAAAGGCGGACGTCGCCCCTGACTCCATCCGAGTCGGATTGATACAGAAAGATGACCACTTTCTTCGGAGCAAGCCGATTCTGTGGAAGTCAACCGAATGTGATATTGAAGTCTGGGGAGTACCGTATAGCGCGATCATAGATTCGGGAGCGGCTGTCCTAGCGATATCACTCCGAGTAGTCGAGAGAGCGGGTAGGAAGAATGATTTGATTATGCTAACCGAGAAGGACCAGCTCGTATTGGCTGACGAGGAGATGCTCAAGACAGTAGGGCGAATGACGAATGTCGCGTTCCGATTGGGAAAAGTGCATGCTTTAGGAGATGTTGTGGTGCTGGATGTGAATACATATGATGTTCTTTTCAAGCTTCCTGCATTGGTGGCGCTGCGTGCTAATTTAAACTTCGAACGCCGATCCGTCATTCTCCGGAATATCGGGGGAAAGCCGTATGTAATACCCATAAGACTAACTCTTCGAACGTCGGTTAAGGTAGTACCCTGAATTTCTCCGGAAACAATGGGAGCGCTCCGCATGGTCTCCTGGAGTGCACATGTGGACGGAAGCCAATCATCGAACGACGCGGGGAGTGGCGACGATGACGATCCAGTCGTTACACGGTTAGTACGGCAGCGGATTCACTACCCGCCGCCTCGCACTATTGCGCGTACCATGCATCTAACCGCACAGAATGCTCATATGATGATCATGGGAGAACCCCTCGTACAGATTTCGAGGCTGGTTGATTCCTTGGAACCCCCTCGGACCCTGTACGAAGGCGTATCTCCCCTTCTCCTTCGGTATAATGACAAACGTTCCTTTTGTGATCTCACTGGCTTACCTCGATCCCTGCTTCAGCCCGCAAAAGAGGTTCAGTTGTTGCGTTTGGGAGCCGAAGCAGGTTCTTTGGAACCCCCTCAGCGCATCGAGGCAAGATCCGATGAACTCGGGATCAAAATCTCGCCCAAAAGCGTGCCCTGGGGAGACATCTGCGACGGGATAACCCCCGAAGGTCATACAGCGATCAGGGAGAAGGAAGCACAGATGGTGCCCACTGTGTTTTCTTGGAGATCGGATCACTCTTTTATATCTGCACCGCCTGACACTACTCGACGTATACACACGAAGCAGGTTAACGTTCGGATTTTGGATCAAATGTATGAATTGCATGTGCCCCAGTATGTACCTGATGAGATCCATCGGCTGATCGCTGATATTTTAATAGAATATCAAGGGGCGATTAGCGTGTCCGATGTCGATATTGGGTTATCTGTGGTCGTTCAGCATGAGATTCAGACCGGGAATCATTCCCCGATCCACTGCAAGCCGTACCGATACTCGTTGACAGAGCGCAAGACGGCATTGCAGCGAATCAGGGAATTTGAGGCAAACAGATGGATTGAGCCTGCCACCGGTCCCTGGTCATTCCCAGTTGTATTGGTTCCTAAAAAGAACGGGTCAGTCCGCATATGCATCGATTATCGAAAGCTAAATGATATCACGATTAAAGATGTGTATCCCCTTCCCCGGATTGATGATCTGCTTGATGCGATCGGGTGTGCTAACTACTTCAGCAAGTTCGACATTCAGCATAGGTTTCATCATATCTTGGTGAAGGAAGAAGATCGGCCCAAGACCGCCTTCGTTTTGTTTGAAGGCACGTGGCAGTGGGTTCGGTGCCCGATGGGAATCTGCAATGCGCCTGCCACATTTCAGCGGGCGATGAACGTGACTTTTCATAATTTCGTCAATAAGACACGGCTGACTCAGGGGATGATTAACTTCTGCGTCATTGTGTACATGGATGACATTCTGGTGTACTCGGACACGTTTCACGGACATGCGCAGCACATCGAATTGACGTTGGGTTCGTTGAGAGACGCAGGTTTCAAGATTGCGCTGGAAAAGAGCGAGTTTTTCCTCCCGGAAATCTCGTTCTTGGGGTATGTGGTGACACGAGGAGGCCTGCGGCCGGACTCTCGAAAAGTCGCGGCGGTCAAAGAGGCCCCGGTTCCGACCTCACTGACGCAGGTTCGAGCCTTCTTGGGCCTGGCCTCGTATTACCGGCGGTTCATCAAGGGGTTCGCGGCTATAGCAAGGCCTCTGACAAACCTGCAGCGAAAAGAACAACCCCTTCATTGGGATGACGAGTGCGACCAGGCCTTCGGGACCCTGAAGGATGCTCTCGTCATGGCCCCGATTCTGATTCGACCGGACCCCTCTCGGCAGTTTATTCTCATCACCGACTGGCAGCCGGAGGCTATCTCGGCCATTCTGGCACAGAAGGGAAACGATGGGAAGGAGCATGTCATTGAGTACGCTTCCCGGACGGTGCCAGACGAGCGACGAAACGATTTTGCGCTACAAGGAGAATGTTATGCGGTAGTGTGGGGTATCCAGCACTTCCATCCGTATTTGTACGGTCAAAAGTTTCTGCTCGTCACCGACCATGAACCTCTGTTGGCTCTGAAAAAGCTAACCAACTACACGGGCATGATCGGACGATGGGCAATGCGGTTGCAAGAGTATGAATTTGACATTGTTCATCGAAAAACGGAGAGACACGGCAACGCCGACGGACTGACATGTTTGCACCGACCCGGTAAAGTACCAAAGGCGGAAGAAATCACACCGTGGAAGGACCCGGACATCAATAACGGTCCAAAGTACGGAGACGTTGTGGTTATTCCACGTGGCAAGAAGCTGGTGAAGGGCAATGGGTGACGGAGGTAATGTCCAGATTCCCTCTCTTTCTTCCCCATCCTCTTCTTTCGCCTCCCTCCCTGACAAATTTTGCTATTTCTGCGAGGCAATCTCTCGAGTCTATTTCGTCCACATGTGTCCTAAAGGGAGGGGATATGTTGAATGGGTAGACTGTCGGAAATGTGTCGCACGTGCTCATGGTCGTGCATACAGTATCGAAGTAGTGATAGACCCTGGTTCTGTCCCTTATGTCGCACTGACAAGATTCCGACAGAAGCCCGATTCCTCGATGCAACTTCGGAAGGCCCCGACAAAATTCATAAATTTAGAAGAGCGGAAGTCTAGACAGATGTCGCCTTGATAGCCACTGTGGTAGGGAACTCCCTCGAAACCTTCTCCAAGGAGGATCGGAGGAGGGCCAATGAAAGAGCACGGGATTACCGATGGGTGGACGGACGGTTAGAAAAGCGTAAAACAAACGGCAGTGGGGCATGGTTAGTAGTTCCGCACCCGTTTATGCGGTACGACTGGGTACGGACAGCCCACGAGGAGACGGCGGTGCATTTTGCCGTGCGTATTACCGAAGGTGCGATTGACAGAAATCAATGGTACTGGTCCAATATCCGAGACGACGTTAAATTCATCGTCCAACACTGCCAGGTCTGCGCTGCTGACAAGGCCCCAACCCAACCGCCTAGGTCGATAGTCCCAACTGTGGTTGAACGGCCGTTTCAGAGGGTTAGTATGGATACTACTGATATAGTAGTGCCCCCCGGACCGAATAGTTGCGACTGTTCAATTCTGCTGGTTTTCGTCGACCACTTTTCTAAGTGGATCGAGGCCTACCCCTGCAAGACACGACAAGCCGCGGAAATCGCGCCGTACGTCAACCGTTTTTTAGGCATGCACCAGGACACCGAAGAGATCCTGACCGACAATGGGGTCGAATTTAGAGGAGAAGTCGAGAGGAACCTGGTCATACACGGGGTCTCCATACGGCACACGGCCCCGCACATGTCCCAGTCTAACGGATTAGTGGAAAACGCGAATAGGGTGATAAAACGGCCTTGCGGCGGAATATTGCAGCACGTTGTCGGCGTGAATACCCTTACAAGGGTATCCGCCCTGGTTTTTGCAAGTGACAGAAGATAAGGCTTGTTCAAAATTTGAGTATATCGTGCGGAGCCGCGGTTGTGTTTGGTTCGCGTTCACTAAATGGTTGATGGGGAGTAGAGTGTGTGTGGGCGCACAGTTTTAAGGCGCGCGTGATGAATTTTATTCTTGATGTTACAGAGTGGGCGTTTTCTGCCGGCAAAATTTTTGACCTTGATTAAGACTAGGAATTTTTTTATTTATTGAAGTAACCATGGTACGTCTGCGGCATGCGTCATCGGAAGTGGTGTTGCCCTCTGTAGTAATTGGAGTGTGTGAGAGAAAGTAGAACGCAAGCGGTGACCTCCGCGCGATAGATGCCGGAGGTTGACGGTCGTGGACGGAGCCAGGCCCTGTGAGCGGCAGGCGCCATAGGTCGGCCGTCGTGAGTTTGGTCCGTGGGCACAGGAGTAACCTCGATGTATTTAGGTAGGCTCGTGTGCCGTGCGGCAACAATTTATACTGATTTTTGCAGGAGTCCGTCTCAGCCTTGGGTACTAGCACTATTGGTAACGGCATTGGACTTTCAAAGCGACGGTACAGGGATCGAAGGCGGTGACCTACGAGGATGGAACATCGGAGCGGCTGGAGGTGCTGAGGGGTTGAGGGCCCGGCGGGGCTATCCCCCTTGGTTTTGTTGTCGGCCCATCCGTAGGCCCAGTCGATGGAATTGAGAGTAGTACTGGCGGTCTCCCTTCCCCAAAAAGCACCATCGTATTTTTTATTTTATTTTTTTTTATTTTTGCCTGTCCCGTTTTTTTTGGGACGCGGCACCAGCTTCGGTACCAAGGTTGTTTGCGGGGTACCAGCTAGCGAGGCGGGAGAAACCTGGGTAGCATGGCGTCGTGGGCCCTCCGCAGTTGCACCATCGCCAACCACGATCTGCTGTGGGAACTGAGTATGGGCACGTTGATGGGGCCAGTGTCGGTGCCGGTGCTGGTTTTGGAACCATTGCTGTGGGAACTGAGTATACCCACGATCTGGAGTGAGAGGTTGGGGAGTGAGCATGCCTGTAGGGTGTGACAAGGTGCGGGGCCGGTCACACAGACTTGTCAAAGATCCTAAGGCTACCATTATGTGTGCTCATTTGTCAACAACCTGCGTAGCCGTGGGGTAAGGGGATTTGCGGTCACATCTGGGGGTGACCGCAGATACCCTACGTTCATTTATTTATTTTTGGCATTATGCTTGAGCAGGCAAGAACTTTTGCACAGTTTAAGTACCATTTTGTTGGTACTGCAGACGGCCAGGGCTTTGTCCCATCTGAAAAAGTACAGCAGTGTGACCTGAACCATACCCAACACCTTGAATTGGTATGTGACAGTCCCAAAATCTGCATTATTCGCAGATTTTTGGGGCCGCAGTGTGAGCATTCCCGTTGGGACCCGAAGGAAGGAGAACTGTGCTTGGGCACAGCAGGGAAGGGCGTTGGCTGCAACAACACTGACYTTGTCCAGCTGAGCATTTGGAACCCTTCTCTACTTCAGGCTTCAAAAGCCCTCACTTAAGGATCTGTTACCACTCCCAAGATCTGCACAAGGACCCGCTGGCTGAGCACAGTCGGTACACCCCTGAACTGCTGATATAAGGGGTCAAGCTCGAGCCCAGAAGCTTTTTGAGTGGGGAGGCATGCAGCTGTAGCCAGCTGGTCACATGGAAACCCCCCTCTGCGGCTGTTTTATTTTATTTTTGTTTTTATTTATTTTTGTATGCCCCCCTCTGCGGCTGTTTTATTTTATTTTTGTTTTTATTTATTTTTGTATGCCCCTTTGTTTCCAGTTGGGACGCGGCCTGGTTCCAGGACTGGCAAAAGTACCCAAGAGCCTAGCTCTGTGGATACACCCGTACCCAAGAGCCTAGCTCAGTGGATACACCCATGAGCTGTTGAAGTGCAGACCCAAGCTCAAACTGGTTCGCATAAATAAAGAGGTTAATCCGTTGCTAATGGGGAGTGCCTTCCGAGAGGGTAAGGCAGCGCAGGCTACCAGGAGGGTGAAGTTGGAAAGAGAGACAACGGAAGAGGAGGAGAGAGGGAGGACCAGGGGAAGGGCAGAAGAGTAGAGTGAACCTGGACGCGGATCTGCACTAGGTTCGTTCAAAGTGGAAAAGGGAAAGGGCTATGGCGGGCAGAAGACATGGCCRGATAAACAATCGCATAGCTCGCCCGTTTTTTAGCAGAATCAGGCAAACTCGGATGCGTTTTGGGGGCTTTGAGGCAAGGGGAATCTGATTATGTGATCAGATTGGGAGTTTAGTGGGAGGTTTTGCTTCTGCAGGAGCAAAAAGCTGCGCGGTGTTCGTCACGAAGATGGTGAATGGAGGGGCTTTTCCTAGTGGAATCAGGCAGGGAAAGATACTTGGTAGAAGTTTTGGGATCGGGCGAACACGAATCTGTGGTCAGAGTTAGCAGGGAGTTAGTGGAAGTGAAGTTAAATAGAAAAATCAGTGCGCGGCGGTGTCGAGGGCAGGAGGGAGAGTGGGAGTTAAAAGTGCCTATATCTCTCATTCCTCCATGGAATCAGGTGAGGAAGGAGGCTAAACAGGGGTTTTGAGGCATTGCGAATAGATTGGCGGGGTTAGATTTAACAGAGGAGCGATAGGTTTCTCGCTATGAAAGAGAGGACCTGCGCGGTATAAGAAAAGGGGGGAGAGCCAAGCGGGAAGTGAGTGTATAATTCCACATTCTAGTGGAAGAATCATTCATTTATTAATTTTTTTTGTGTGTGGTAGGCAGAGCTGGCCCCACGCACTTACTTTCGGCTCCATGGCGGCTCTCATTCCCTCTCGAGTGTTGCGGTCTCTTTCTGAAGGATGATTGGTTGTACCGGCTACGGTCTTTCTTTCGACGCCGAATTTTTGAGTGAACCCGGCATAGCAGGCGGCTAGGTGCGTCGGTAAACTAAGGGGCAGCAGCGAGCATGAGAGTGAGAGCACCCACCAGGTTGAGTGGCCCGGCATAGCAGGCGGCTAGGTGCGTCGGTAAACTAAGGGGCAGCAGCGGGCATGAGAGTGAGAGCACCCACCAGGTTGAGTGGGGCGGGGCGCACAGTTGTGCCCGGGAGGTTTGCACCAGGCCAGGATCAAGTAGCAAGTCCTTCCTCAGTTGCCAGATATAGGCGCTGGGGCGTGAAGGGCTGACGGGTGTACCCTCCCGTGTTTTACCGAAAAATGCACTCTCGTCTAGTGGATGAAGGACTCTCTCTGAGGCGCGCGGCAACATCAGTATCTGGCAGATCTTTAGTCCAAACTCACACTAGTTCTTTCCAGTGAGTTCCCCTACCGCAGCCTATCTTTCTATGCTTCACTGGAAGATTCCTTCTCCTCTTCCCACAGTTCACGAGTAGGGGAACGTTGGCGCCATGGCGACGGGCCCGCTATGATATGACGTTAGTGCTCTCACTAACGTACTCGTCTCTACCGTGTGACTGCCATACTTTCGTAATAGTTGCTGCTGCGCCCCTCGTTGCTGTAACCCCCCCTACTTCCATAAGTCTGTGGTCAAGGGCATTACCGTTACCTGAGTACAGAGACACACAGAGAGAGAGAGAGAGAGAGAGAGAGAGAGAGAGAGAGAGAGAGAGAGAGAGAGAGAGAGAGAGA